GCGGAGCACGAGCTGCTTACGAAGTTCTTGGCAGCGGTGCGGCGCAACCAAGACGAGAAGGTGTACGACAACCACAAGATCGAAACCAAGGGTCAGGTTGCCACCGTCATGGGGAACTACCACTTCACCTGCGCAACTTACCGAGCGAAGTCCAAAGTCGAGAATCACTTCCAGTGCCACCGCTGCGACGATGGCAAGGTGCGCATCTTCTTGCAGACTGTCAAAGGGAGCTACTACTTCACTTGTGCCGCCAACGGAGAGACGGAGAGCAGTCCAACATCGTGTACATCGTTGAGTACCACGGCTGCGACGACGGCAACGTGCGCATCTTCTTGCACTTTCGTTCCGCGCAGTTCGTGCTCACGCAGAGGGAGTCCGAGAAGTCACAGCAGGAGAACCTGAAGGCGGAGCACGAGCCGCGCACGAAGCTCATGGACGAGGCGCGGGGGGACACACTCAAGGATGACGTTGCCAACATCGCTGGATCGGAGCAGTACCACGAGAGGCAGTACGACGAGCCCTTCGCCGACATCATGCGTTACGGAGTGCACAGTGCCACAGGAGGCACTACGACGAGCCCTTCGCCGAGACTATGCGCTACAGAGTGGACAAGTACCACGGGAGGCACTACGACAAGCCCTACGTCGACATCATGCGCTACGGAGTGGAGTTGTCCCGCAGGAGGCACCACGACGACCCCCTCGCCGACATCATGCGCTACGGAGCGGAGCAGTACCACAGGAGGCACTACGGACTCGGGGTCGGCAGGGCTGGCACAGCCAGACTCTGCAGCTTCATTCCTTGCGACTTGACCAGGCGGCCCAGCAGCTGCCGACTCGGGGTCAGCCCATCTTGATGGGCCCGAGGGCCCACACGATCAGCTCTCGAATCCGAGAGCTATCCAGATGCAAGCATCATCCCCCTTGAACGAATTCGAGATGATTGGCCTCACGACGGGGCTTGCATGGCCAGCCTGAGCCACGGTCTCTTCTCCAACCTCCTATCCTCCCAACGCTCAGCATGCAACGCGGGCATCGCAAGCTGTCTACGGTTTTCTCTGGACCGCGCGCACATGTGTGCAGCACCCCGTGAAGCGCGGCTCCTAGCGAGCTCTTTGGGGAGCAATCGAGCTCTCTGCGAAGGATCAGTTTTTCTCTAAAACCTGTTGCTCAACAGTTTGGTCCTGATGTCGGGGAATAACATCGTCATCATCATCATCATCATCATCATCATCATCATCATCATCAGCATCATCATCATCATCATCATCATCATCATCATCATCATCATCATCATCAGCATCATCATCAGCATCATCATCATCATCATCATCAACAACATCATCAACATCATCATCATCAGCATCATCATCATCATCATCATCATCATCATCATCATGCATCATGCATCATCATCATCATCATCATCATCATCATCATCATCATCATCAATCATATCATCATCATCATCATCATCATCATCATCAGCATCATCATCATCATCAGCATTATCATCAGCATCATCATCATCATCATCAGCATCAGCATCGTCATCATCGTCATCATCGTCCTCCTTCTCCTCCTCATTATCCTCCTCCTCCCCCTCCCCCTCCTCCTCCTCCTCCTCCCCCCCACCTCCTCCTCCTCCTCCTCCTCCTCCTCATCATCATCATCATCATCACCATGATCATGATCATCAGCAGCAGCATCATCGTCAGCATCATCATCATCGTCATCATCACCATCGTCATCATCATCGTCATCAGCGTCATCACCGTCATCAGCAGCATCAGCATCATCATCATCAGCCGCATCATCATCATCATCAGCATCACCACCACCACCATCAGAGCCATCAGAACCATCACAATCGCCAGCATCGTCAGCATCATCGTCATCAGCATCATCACTCGCAGCAGCATCATCACATCATTACCATCATCACTCGCAGCAGCATCACTCGTTACCATGCTCATCATCTTCATCACCACCATCGCCACCATCAGCATCATCATCATCCAAACCATCAGCAGCAGCATCATCACCACCACCATCATCATCATCATCATCATCATCATCACCATCATCAGCATCATCAGCATCATCAGCATCATCATCACACTCGCCATCATCGTCATCATCATCAGCAGCAGCATCATCAGCACCATCGTCATCGGTCTGGTCATCATCATCAGCAGTATCAGCAGCAGCAGCGGGCGCATCATCCGCAGCATGATCAGACTCATCATACTCGCCATTGTCAGCAGAATCGGCATCAACATCATCATCAGCATCATTAGCACCACCATCATCATCATCATCAACGTCATCCGCATCACCACCACTATCACCACATCTTCACTATCATCACCGTCATCGGCATCATCATCAGCATCATCTTCAGCCGCATCAGCATCATCATCATCAGCAGCAGCAGCTGTATCACCATCATCATCATCATCATCATCATCAGCATCACCATCATCATCCGAATCCTCATCATTACCAGAATCATCATCACCATTGTCAGCATAATCATTCGCAGCAATATCATCACCATTACCAGCCTCTTCATATTCATCAGCAGCATCATCAGCATCATGACCATTATCATCATCATCATCATCATCATCATCATCATCATCATCATAATCATCATCATCATCATCATCAGCATCATCATCTGCATCAGTCTCATCATCATCATCATCATCATCATCATCAGCATCATCATCATCATCCCCAGCATGATCATTTTCATCATCACAGCCAACATAATCATCACCAGCGTCATCATCATCGCATTATCATCATCATCTCAAGCATCATCAAAATCGCAGTCATCAGCATCATCACCAGCAGCAGCACCACCCTCATCGTCACCAGCATCATCATCACCAACATCACCATCATCATCAACATCATCATCAACATCCACAGCATCAGCAACATCATCAACATCATCATCAGCATCATCATCATCGCCATCATCACCAGCATCATCATCATCATCATCATCATCATCATCATCATCGTCATCATCATCATCATCATGGTGAGCATCACCCGCCATCATGAGCAGAATCATCATCATCGTCATCATCAGAAGCATCAGCATCATAATCAGAATCACCATCATCATCCTCATCATCATCAGCATCATCACCATCGCCATCTTCGTCAGAACCATCATCATGATAAGCATCACCAAAAGACAGCATCAGAATCGTCAGCAGCAGCATCATCATCCCCAGCGTCGTCATAATCATCAGCAGCATCGTCATTTAAAGCATCATCATGATTATCAGCATAATCAGCATCACCATCAGCATCATCATCGCCAACAGCATCGTCATCATCATCATCATCATCATCATCCTCATCATCAGCATCATCATCAGCATCACCATCATCACGATCATCAGGATCATCATCACCATCATCATCACTATCATCACCCGGATCAGTATCAGCATCATCATCACCAGCATCACCAGCATCAACATCCTCATCACAAGCATAATCGCCATCGTCAGCATCATCATAATGATCAGCAGCATCATCAACATCATCATCATCAGCCACATCACCATGAGCATCATCATAATAATCACCATCATCGTTATCACCATTAGCAGCGGCTTCATCAGCATCATCAGCATCGTCATCCATATCATCATCATCATCATCATCATCATCATCATCATCATCATCAGCAGCATCAGCATCAGCATCAGCATCAGCATCAGCATCATCATCATAATCACCATCACCACCATGATTATCATCACCAGCATCATCAGCATCCTCAGCATTAGCAGCATCATCATCGCCATCATCATCATCGTCAGCATTATCCGCCTCAGCATCAGCAGAATCATCATTACCGTCAGCATCATCAGCAGTATGGGCATCAGCATCATCAGCAGCAGCATCATCATCACCATCACCACCATCACAAACATCATCACCATCGTCACCCTCATCATCACCACCACCATCATCACCATCATCACATTGCCTGCTCCGCCCATGCCCTCATCCAGCCATGTCCTCCTCCTCCTTTTCTTCATTCTCGTCCGCCCAACTCCTCATCGTGGTCCCCCTCCCTGTTATCCTAGTACATCCTTCTTTGCGGATGCCCAGTCCCTGCTCTCCATATATGCTCTTCCTCCTCCTGCCCCTGCTCCTCTTCCTGACTGTGAAAGCCTTGCCGCCCTTGAGCGTCCTGGGGCCCACGCGGTCGAACGTGGGCCGCGGAGTGGCAGCACGTCGAGCACAAGAGGCTGGCGTCCGCGCCTTGGGCCCCAGCGTCGGACACCGAGTGATCCACGTGACCCCCCCAGGGACGGACGTCTTCCTGGCCAAAGCCTTCATCCCCAAAGCCCTCGGCATCCTCGCCCTCGGGTTCCTCCGGCCCCTCGGCGCCCGACCCAGCCCCAGCAGCAGCAGGGGCAGGAGGCGAGTCGGCAGGAGGCGGGGGGAGAGGAGGGGGGGGCAGGCGGACACGGGTGGGCCTCCGGAGCTGCGGCGGGCCTCCGCGAGGGGCAATCAGCGGGGAAAAAGTCCTCGATCGGGGAGACGTAAGACGATACGGGGGACTCGGGCTGGCCTGAGGGAGGGCCAGTATGAGAATGACGAGACCCGACCTAAAAGTTGACGCGAACTCCCGCTGCAAACATCCCACGAAACTGGACCGTCAAAATCCAGTACGCGCTCGTCAAAAAACGTCGGCAAACCCGAGTTCCGGCTTACTCGAGACTTACGCTTCCCCGACTCTAACACGCCGACATCCAAGACTCAGATCGCATCAAGGCTCCAGTAATCGGGAAAGGGAGAAGGAGGAACGCAGTGAACCCAAGATGCGTCACCGAGGCACCCTCCCATCCTGAGCCCCGTCCTCGCAAGACCACGGAATCCTTACGTTCCACTTCAAGGCTCGCCCCCCCGAAGGACCAGAACCTTGTGAACCTGCCCTTCAGGCGAAAGCCCGCCTTTAGGAAAAAATAAGTAAAAAACAAAAAAAAAAAAACGAAGTGCAGCACTCCACCAAGTACTGAGGAATGCACAAAGAGTGTGATCTTACAGCTCAACGAGGTGTACAACGAGACACCCGATTTCCAACCCACGCGGATGTATATATCGATATAAGCTAGAACCACGCGCGCGCTTCGCGCGCGCTTAGGTTCTGTCGAGTCACAGACCCAGGAATCGTTGTGAGAAGAAATTGGTGACGCGACGTCGAAGCCAATCTGGCGTTAATCTGGCGGCCCATATCGGGCAAAAATTGGCAATCTGGCGGGGGAGCCAGCGAGGTAACAGACTGGCGAGCAAGTAGAAATCTCCAACCTGGCCACGCCAGAGTGGCCCCTGGAGCCTTGGACTGTCGAGGAGAAGGGCGAGACACTGAAATCTTGGGACGTGAAGTCGAAGCCAATCTGGCGCCAATCTGGCGGCCCCAATCTGTCGAGGAGAAGGGCGAGACACTGGAAACGCAAAGTCGTCTCAAAATCGACCCCGGGACTCCGAACGCTCCAACGTTTCGGGCTGCGCCCAGCCGCTGCGACGAGGGGCCCTAGACCAAGGTGCCCCCAGGACTCCCCGGGAAGCTTCGGCGGCGTCCACAGCACCCCTCCTCCTCCTCTCCTTCCTCCTCCTCCCTCCTCTTCCTCCTCCTCCCTCTCCTCCTCCTCCTCCTCCTCCTCCTCCTCCTCCTCCTCCTCCTCCTCCTCCTCCTCCTCCTCCTCGTCTTCCTCCTCATCCTCGTCCTTTCCCGAGCCATACAATAACAACTTGCGTGGAATCCCTCTCGGGCCC